GGGGGAAGGCGGGGACGCGCACGGGGCGCGAGGCCCGTTCGAGGGCGGAGGCTCGGGAAGGCGCGACACCTTGCCGAGCTTTCCGGGCCGCGCAGGCGCACTGGGGCGGGCGCAGGGCGCGCGCGGCGGCCGTTGGGGGAGGGGCGCCCGGCCGTTCCCTGCGTGGGCCCACGCGCCCGGGGGAGGGGCGGGCCAGGGCGCAGGCGCAGGCGCGTCACCGCCGCGGCGGTTGGGGAGGGTTCTTCCGGAAGGTTCGGGAGGCTTCTGGAAAAGGCGCCGCGCGCCGGGCGGGCCCGCGTCTATATAAGGGGGGCGCGGGGGCGGAGCGCCAGTTGCTTCTGCGTCCTGGTGCGGTGTCGTTGTAGAGCTCGCGCGGCCCCTTGACCAAGGTGAGGGGGGGTCCGTCGGGGACCCTTAGGGCCGGGGGCGGGCGCAGGGCGACCGGCGGTGGGTCTTGGGCGGCCGGGAAAGGTCCCGGGCCGCTGCGGAGGGGCGCTGCGCACTCCGGGAGCCCCGGGCCTGCCGCGGCCGCCGCCCCGGGAGGGCCTGGCCGGGGCTTCCGCGGTGCAGGGGGGCCGCGTGGCCTGCCTGGCCGCGGGGATGCTCCGCCGCAGCCCTTGCGCGCCGGACCGGCCGGGGGCGACCTGGCGGGCCTGCGCCCCCGCCCCGGAGCGCGGCCTCCGCGGCGGGCACATGCGCGTCGCACCGCCGCGGCCCCGAATGAGGTCATCCCTTTGTCGGCGGCCTCCCGCGTTGGGTCAGCTTCGGTTTGGCGTGTTTCTCCCGTGGGCGCCCAGGCGTGCCTGGGGGAGGCGGCTGCGGGGCGCCGCGGCGTCGGGGCCTGCGGTGTTCAAGCTGGCGGCGTGTCTTTGCAGATGCCCGAGGAGACCCTGACCCAAGACCAGCCGATGGAGGAGGAGGAGGTGGAGACGTTTGCCTTTCAGGCGGAAATTGCCCAGTTGATGTCCTTGATCATCAACACTTTCTACTCGAATAAAGAGATCTTTCTGAGGGAGCTTATTTCAAATTCGTCAGATGTACGTTTATTAGTGGAGGGCAGTGGGTTTGGGTTTCAGTGTAAATTTCACCATTTTGGGATTCTGTGTTTAATGACTATGTGTATGTCTTTCATAACAGGCTTTGGATAAAATCAGATATGAAAGCCTGACAGATCCCAGTAAACTAGACTCTGGGAAAGAGCTGCACATCAATCTCATTCCAAACAAACAAGATCGAACTCTCACTATTGTGGATACCGGAATTGGGATGACCAAGGCCGATTTGATCAATAACCTTGGTACTATCGCCAAGTCTGGGACCAAGGCGTTCATGGAAGCACTGCAGGCTGGTGCAGACATCTCCATGATTGGCCAGTTTGGTGTCGGGTTTTATTCTGCCTACTTGGTTGCTGAGAAAGTGACGGTGATCACCAAACATAATGACGATGAGCAGTATGCCTGGGAGTCTTCCGCGGGAGGATCTTTCACAGTCAGGACTGACACAGGTAGGCACCTGATAGGCAGTTACGTCACGGGGTTAGTCGTTTGGAGGTTCGGGGGCTGTGGAATTTGCTCAGGCTGTTCGCTGACATTCAGGAGCAAGCTACGCTAGTAAGCAAGTAGTGTGACAGCGTGACCTTGTATTACTAGTCTTAGCAAGGCAGGTAACTGCTCTGGGACTCTGTCATCTGAAGTAACGATAACCCTGCTCTATGTACTTCAAAATCTGCTGGGAATGGCGTGGGGTGGGTGGCTGGGCTTTTTTTTTTTTTAACCTTGACACTGATGTTGAGATTGAAATTGAGTTCCGTTTCCTTCAGGCGAACCCATGGGTCGTGGAACAAAGGTAATCCTGCACCTGAAAGAAGATCAGACCGAGTACCTGGAGGAAAGAAGAATAAAGGAGATAGTGAAGAAGCATTCCCAGTTTATCGGCTACCCCATCACTCTCTTCGTGAGTCTCTGTGCGTCCTGTGTGTAGAGCAATTAATAAGGAAGAGGCCTCAGACTCGTGTTTACTGAGCTATTACTTACTGTCTTGGTGGCAGGGCACCTAAGATTTGGCTCATCAGATTGTGCCGCAAGGCTTGGCTGCATTAATGGTTCTCAGCTTGGCTTGGCTGATGGAGGCTTTGGTGAAAGCGCAGCCACTCCAGTCAGCCTGGTTTTTAGTTCAAGAAGGCAGAGGCGATGTGACTTCATGTCCTCTTTTGAAGGTGGAGAAGGAACGTGATAAAGAAGTCAGCGATGATGAGGCCGAGGAAAAAGAAGACAAAGAGGAGGAAAAAGAAAAAGAGGAAAAGGAGTCTGATGACAAACCTGAAATAGAAGACGTCGGTTCCGATGAAGAGGAGGAAGAAAAGAAGGATGGCGACAAGAAGAAGAAGAAGAAGATCAAGGAGAAGTACATCGATCAGGAAGAGCTGAACAAGACAAAGCCGATTTGGACCCGAAATCCTGACGACATAACCAACGAGGAATACGGAGAATTCTACAAGAGTCTGACCAATGACTGGGAGGACCACTTGGCGGTGAAGGTGAGTGACGAGGGCTTCGAAGCTGGTGTTGAACGGAGTCCGGTTGCAGCAGCTTTCTGATCCCCTAGTGTGTCTCGCTGACGGTTAAGTAGCCGAATTTTTTTGTATATCAGTTGATTATCATTTAGTGTGTGTTTTGTTACAGCATTTTTCAGTTGAGGGACAGTTGGAATTCAGAGCCCTTCTATTTGTTCCAAGACGTGCTCCTTTTGACCTGTTTGAAAACAGAAAGAAAAAGAACAACATTAAGTTGTATGTCCGCAGAGTGTTCATCATGGATAACTGCGAGGAGCTGATCCCCGAATATCTGAGTGAGTCTGGTGGGTTATGAAGAACTTGCTGGTTATAACGTTTGACCCTGTGAACTCGAGGGAGTCTGTTAAGCAGCTGAGTTTGGAGGACCTCCCTCCGAATATTTCCCGTGAGATGTTGCAGGGAATCCTGAATCTTTGGTGTTACTCTGGGGGTGGGGGGAGGGGGAGGTCACATATACTTACTTGCCTTGGAATGACTGCATTTGGTGTTTATTTTAGATTTCATTAGAGGTGTGGTGGACTCGGAGGACCTCCCTCTAAATATTTCCCGCGAGATGTTGCAGCAGAGCAAAATTTTGAAAGTTATAAGAAAGAATTTGGTCAAAAAATGCTTAGAACTCTTCACTGAACTGGCTGAAGATAAAGAGAACTACAAAAAGTTTTATGAGCAATTCTCCAAAAATATTAAGGTTGGCATTTCATTGACCTTTAGCAGTGATCAAACAGGCTTTTCAAGCTTTAAATGCCTTTCTAATGCAGAAGGGGTCTTTCTAAAGCAAATGTTGTTTTTCAGCTTGGAATACATGAAGACTCTCAGAACAGGAAGAAGCTTTCAGAACTGTTGAGATACTACACGTCTGCTTCTGGTGATGAGATGGTTTCCCTCAAGGACTACTGCACGAGAATGAAGGAAAACCAGAAACACATCTATTACATCACAGGTAGTGGACGATTTTTATGCTCCTGGTGTTTTTGGTGACCTAGGAACTGTGGGTGTTTTATACCCACATGGTACTTGTTTGTAAACTAGTTAATCCCCATGATCTTACAGTGAGCTGAGCCTCGGGTTAGGGCTGACTAGGTGGGAGAAGGAAGGAACCAGGTCTAACAGTGCCTGTATTAACAGGGGAGACCAAGGACCAAGTGGCAAACTCTGCCTTTGTGGAGCGTCTACGGAAGCATGGCTTAGAAGTGATCTACATGATCGAGCCTATTGACGAGTACTGTGTCCAACAGCTGAAGGAGTTTGAGGGCAAGACTTTAGTGTCAGTCACCAAAGAGGGCTTGGAGCTTCCAGAAGATGAAGAAGAGAAAAAGAAACAGGAAGAGAAAAAAACTAAATTTGAAAACCTCTGCAAAATCATGAAGGACATCTTGGAGAAAAAAGTAGAAAAGGTACGTGAATACAATGTCCTTTTTCATCTACATTACCCAATTACCAATCACTTCCTGTAGGCAGTGTTAGGGGTCTCAAACTTGAGTTACAAGTAGCCCTTTTCTCCTTACTTCTTTCCACTTAGCCCTTGCATTTAGTGGTGGCTGTCTCGTAAGATTCTCAAAGACCTGAAACGTGTGGGATGTACAGGGAAAGCTTTGGGTACTTAAGCTTGCACATAGTATTTGATTCGTCAGTACTTCAGTTCCTTAGATGCAGTCTCACAATAAAGTAGACGGAGGTAATGAAAAGTTAGATCGTCTTTTTAGGCCCAGGCATCACTTAATGCTTTGAATTGCAGGTGGTGGTGTCAAACCGATTGGTGACATCTCCGTGCTGCATTGTTACAAGCACATATGGCTGGACAGCAAACATGGAGAGAATCATGAAGGCTCAAGCCCTACGAGACAACTCAACAATGGGCTACATGGCAGCAAAGAAACACCTGGAGATCAACCCTGACCATTCCATCATTGAGACCCTGCGGCAAAAGGCAGAGGCTGACAAGAACGACAAGTCTGTGAAGGATCTGGTCATCTTGCTGTACGAAACTGCACTCCTGTCGTCTGGCTTCAGTCTGGAAGATCCCCAGACGCATGCCAACAGGATCTACAGGATGATCAAACTTGGTCTTGGTAAGCCTTGTACACCGCCACTGTACCAGGGAAGGGAAAATGGGACTGTTAAAAGGGCTTAGTTTTTCATCCCACAAAATCAGATTAACAAGTGTTCTCCTAAACTGAATAAAGTTGTATGTGTTACAGGCTTGCATGGGGGTTTTAAGCAGTATTAAGTCTCTGCCTTGAAAGTGGGCATCGATGAGTAGCATTGGGCTAAGTATAAGTAGCTGGCTTCCAGAAATCTAATAGATTTTTACTTCCAAAAGGTATTGATGAAGATGACCCCACTGCTGACGACGGCAGTGCCGCTGTGACCGAGGAGATGCCGCCCCTCGAGGGTGACGACGACACGTCCCGCATGGAAGAAGTCGACTAAGTCTGCCCGGAGCATTTTTCTGTTTCCAAGGATTATGTTCTTTTGTGTTAATGCTTCAAACCTATACAGCATGACAGTAACTTCAGGGGAGGGTTAGACTTCTAAGTGTGATACTGTGATACTTTAGGCACTAAAGCAGAGCTAGGTTTTTTTTCTTGGTTTCACGTTGGCTTTTAACTGATTAAGGTAGCGTTTGTTGTGAGATGTACGTGACCTGTTAACATTGTTTAAAAGTGTTGAGCTGACCTCTTAGACCAAATATCCTGTCACTGAAGTGTTTGGAAGTATAACTTGTTTAAAAGAAAAATACTGGTTAAAAGAACTTTGATCTTCTAAGACCTACTTTTTAAATCTTTAATCCTCAGTAGTGACCAACTGCATGTACCAGGCCTTTAGAAGTTAGTATGTTTACTGAACCAACTTGATGGAAGTATTCATAGGGCTTGTATCCAAAGAAAAGTATTTAGAGTAGCAAAATTACAAGCCTACTTACGTGTTTGTTGTAAAGCTGTTTAAAAAGTAAGTTTTGTGAATGGAAATGTAGTGCTCAAGTTATGTTTGCTTTAAAAGGTTGTAACAAATACAGATAAATTAAAAGATTTGGTGGAAATGGTCTTATTTGGGGAAGGGCGGTTACACACAGATGTCGGGGAGGTCCCATACTATAAAAACCTTGCCTACTAGAAGATTGGAGGAAAGGTGTACGTGGTGGGTTTTTTTCTTCCCAGTTTTCGTGTGACTTTTTCAGGACACCCTCCACAGATGACAAGGTGAAAGTGTATTGCAGAAGAGGCTGTGAGATGCCTGTGGTGGTGGGTGATCATGGCTGTGAACAGTTGGGCTTGGTGGATGATAGAGGGTTGGCTGAATTGGTTATGTTCTTCATGGGTGGGAGTGGTAACGGCTACATTAGAGCCTTCTGTCCCCAAACTGGGCGATTTTTGGAAAAGTTGGGAAGCACACCTTTATGGAGTGGATCTTTTGAGTCCAAGGTTGCTTGGCAAATGTGAGGGGGAAGGGCGTACATATAGCACACGGCTGCTCTAGGGCTCAGGAGGAGCTGACTGCCCAGGAAGTGGTCCCATTTAGTCCTTAAAGTCATAGGAGGCAGAACCTCTACTTGAGGACAAACAGGCAGCATTTGAGTCTGAATTTAACTCGAAGGTCCTTGTGTGGTTTTGCCCCCTTGTTGCAGCGTGGGAGAGCAGGAATTGAAGGGCAGAGAAGATCGTTTTCCCAGGTCTAGTAAGAATGCTGAGGCTTCCATTCATATCAAAAGCAGCAAACAAACCTGAGGGAATCAACAGAATTTCTGGTAAGTGGTCTCCCAAGAGAGCACATCCTCAATGCGGGTGGGTGGGGAAAGGATTTACAGCCAACTGGCAGGCACTTAACCGGAGGGTGAGAAGTTGGGCTCAGGGAGGCTTGAAACACCCTGTTGGCTGTCATTCCACCTCCCACAGGGAGTCCCCTCCCTACTGCTTCAAAGTCCCGTGTTACTTGACGTTTTTGTATTTAGCTCTCATTCACCGCAGGGTGGGACTAAAAAGCTGTGTACAGATGGAAAAGTAAAAGCTTACTTTGTTCACAGGGTACGTGCTTGTCTGTGTAGACAACCAGTAAGAAATTCACAAAAACAGATTAACATGAATTTAGCAAAGTCCAAGAATACAAAACCAATTGGACTTACGTTAGCAGCAAATAGTTAAATCTAAAAATTTCATTCACAATAGCATGCTTTAAATAGAAGATTTTACACAAAGTTTTGTGAAACCTTGCAAAACCTGTATGCAGAGCTCAAGAAAATTGCTGAGAAATTTAGAGACCTAGATACATGGACATGTCATTTAACGTTGGAAAGCTCAGTATTACTGAGAAGTGGATCTTCTCAAAAGCATTATGCTCAGTGAAAAGACACAAAAAGCTACATATTACTATGCAATTTCATTTTCACGTTATGAGGAATGGAAGCCAGCTGGGTGGCCTGGGGCCGGGAATGCAGGCGAGGTCTGACTACGAGGGGACAAAAGGGAACTTGGGGAACAGAAGCGGCGAGGTGGCGACTACACCACTGTACATAGTTACTAAAATCCCTTGGCTTAAAATGTACTGAAGACAGGTGAATTTGAATGATGTATTGAATAGCAAATGGAAGTTACAGAAAGCAGCCTACTGGTGTTCAAAAGTGACCTGCAGTTTGCTAGATAGACCTGCGCTTTGTTATCTCAGTTGTAAATCAGATGAATACCTTAAAGGGCTGCTCTGGCACTTTCCTAGGTAGAGGGCTTAGCAGGTGTCTGATGAAAAGTGCTGAATAACTGACAACTTTTACTTTGAGGACTGTCTCCTCAGGTGGGACCTTCTGTCCCAGTACTCTGAGGTTACTGAGGCTCACTTCTACCACATGAGTTGTTCAGGAGTGTGATCTGCATGCCCCAGCCTAGGCCTCACCTCCTCCAGGAAGTTTTCCTAGACTACTTGTGCCCTCTCTGTGTCATCTGAACTTTTAGTAATTCCTACCAGGCAGAGTCATCTAGCTTTTATTGAGCACCTACAAAGACCAGCCCCTACAGTTGGGTGAGCCATGTAGATAACAAATGGTATGATGGGGAAGGCTGGTGGAGCAAAGCTGAACTCCGGCAGCTACAGCAAGGCCCCAGCTGAGAAGCACAGAGCAAGGGGGGCGGTCATTGCTGGCAGGGCAGGGTTTGGGGAAGCTCCTGGAAGCTGACCCCTTCTCAGCAAAGGGGTAAGTGGAGGCTTCCCAGGGGGAGAGACTGCATCAGCAGGCTTGGGAGACCAGACTTGGTGGCGGGAGAAAGCTGGAGGCTAACAATCATTACCTGTGTTCCTGGAGCACTGGCCGTCAGCCTCACGCTCAGACCTGGACTGGAGACTGCTCAGTACCTCACCTAGTGGTCTGCTTGGACGGCCTCTTGCAGAGTGGGGCCTGGGCTCACCCTCTGAAAATTGTCCCCAACACCAGGAAGACTGGCGATTTGGTAGGTCATTTCCACCACCCTGTTCCATGAGACCCCCCTTCTTGTCAGGTGGCCCCTCATTTCCTTCCAGCCCACTGCATCTCATCTACAGATGGAGAAACACAGGGCCATGTAGGCTGAGCAGGCAGGACAAGGGCACAAGCTTGCTGACTTCCACTCGGCCATGGCCCCTGTTCCTGGCACTTTCTAGGTAGTGGGTCTTGAGTCAGGACTGGGGTGAACATCCTAGGCTCCACTCTGCCCACAAAGACGGGTTTAGGAAGAGCCAATATGGCCAGTCCTGAGTTCTGAGACGGGGGGTGTTTGTTTTGTCCTCTTAGGTAACCCAAGTCCCTATTACAGGGTCAGGCATGTGTCAGGCACTCAAACAGGCATGAGGAAATTAGCCTATGCACTTCGGTTTACAAGTATTTTCACTTACAGTTCCAAATTGCTCCTTTATTTATTTTGACTTAGAGATTTCTGAAACCATGCATAAGTAGGAGACAGATAATAGTTGGCAAGCATGTGAAGGAACTGGAATTCTCTGTGGCAGCACGCCAAATGGGGTGATTTTGGAGAACGGTCTGGCAGTTCCCCCAAAAGTTAAACATAAAAGAGTTACTCTAGGATCCAGGAATCCCACGCCTAGGTATCTACCCAGGAGAAATGAAGACGTGTTCATGTGTTCATACAAACGTGTACCCACATCTTCATAGCAGCATGATTCCCAGTAGCCAAAAGGTGGAAACAAACCAAATGTCTCTCAACAGATGAACAGATAAAATGTGGTAATCCATAAAATGGATTATTATTTGAAATACTGTATTATTGCTGTAAGAAGGAATATGTACTAATTCATACTACAATACGAAGAACCTTGAAAATATTGCGCCAAGTGAAAGTAGCTAGTGATGAAAGCCACACATGTATGTCCCCATTTATATAAGATGCCCAGAGTAGGCAGATCCACAGAAACAAAAAGCAGTACGGGGCGCTGGGGCTGGGAGTTAGTGTTGCGTGTGGACAGGGTCAGCTCTGCAAGACGGAGACGGATGGGGCTGCACAGCAGTGTGAGTGCACTTAATACCACTGACCTGCACACTTACCTGCATTTAAGATTGTACATTTATGTCACATATATTTTACCACACACAGCAGAGGGAATTATTTTAAGAACACCCACCAGCCAGTTTCGACCACCATGGTTAGGGGACCTCATTCGAGTTTGGAATCTTACAGAGATGGTATCACTACCGATCCCTTTTGGCGACTGAGGAAACAAGCTCAGAGTGGTCATGGCAAGCAAGGGTGGACCCATGGACGGGCTGTTCTTCCAATACCCACTTCCCGAATCGGCTGCCCACAGATGTCAGCCTTCGCCACACCAGCTTCCCCACTCAAAGACCCCCATTCAAAGCCTGTGCCTAGCCACGCCTGTGTCCCAGCTGCAAGAGAGGCTGGGAAAACAAGTGTCTGGCCCTCTCACGCCCTCTGCCTCCCCTCCGGCCTCCTGAGGTAACGGTGTCCCCAGAACACACATGGGTGACTCAAAACTGACAAGAGTTCCCTGTCAAGGCCTCACCAGCCAGAGCCACTGCACCTGGGGTGGTCTCTCTTGTTTTTTAAGTGGTGGTAAAAAACACGTAAAATTTACTATTTTGGGTGTACGATTCAGTGGCTTTAACTACATTCAGAGTGTTGTCCAACCATCACCACTTGATTTCTGAAACTTTGTCATAACCCAGACAGAAACCTGTCTGCATCAGGTGGTAACTTACCCACGATGTTCCTTGTGCATCTCTGCGCAGGCAAAGACTCTCCGTCTGGCCTCGGGTTCCTCGTTGCTTTCTTCAGAAAAGCCCCTGCCAGGCCCACCTTCGTCCCTGCCCCCGCTCCGTGAGGCATTTCTCACAACTGTCCTGCAGTGGTTATTTGTGGCCTGTCTTCCTGACTCTGCCGCCTGCCTGATACATGTGTGTGGATTGAATGAATAACTACACACCACTGACACTTTCCCCTTCCTGTGGGCACACAGTTTGTTTAAATAATTTTGTATCACTGAGGAAGCTTTTGTTCCCTTTTCTAAGGGATTGGCTGTACTCTGAAATCTGCTCAAACCTGTGAAAGGGTGATTACAGATTATCTTCTGTAGGAAGGAACATCACTTCACCTCCTGGGAAAGACATTCCAGGAAGTGGGACTTTGTTCAGGTTTTGATATGCTCTTAATTCACCCAAAGACTCTGTTACTGCAGAGCCAACGAGCTGAGCATATTGTCTGCCGAGTGTATCTGTCTGCTTGAAGCCACATCATCTTCCTGTGGAAGTAAGTTAGGGGCTCAACACTTGACCAGTGAAAGAGTTTGAAATGGGGTCCAAAAAGCAGCACTGTTTTGTTTTGTTTTTTAATTCAAGATTAGAAACAAAACAAACTAACAAATCAGAATGCAAAAAAATTGATAAATCAGCTAGCCACTTTTTAAAGTTGAATGGATGAAACCAATAAAACGTTTAACACTTGGATACCATTCATTGTGGATGTAACGAATCAGGCTGTTTTGCACCCCCCCTTTCAGTGAAACTGATCGGTACTATCTCTGTGCGGATTCCGCTGGT